AATTGAATTTAGCCAGTGGTTCTTAAAACACTTGAAAAAAACTTAAAACCTTTTAAAACTAAAAATCGTTGTAACCTCATTATTTCTGTGAATATTGAAAAAGGTTTTACACCTAAACAAACTCAGTAACGTATTTTTTCATCCGATTTCTTTGCTACTATATTTTGATCACCATCTTTTGTTTTTCATTCATGATTTTTTTTATATTTATCCATGTAAAATTCTAATATGGCCACAATAGGAAAAACTTTTCATCCAATAAAATTTGTGTAGCTTTTACTTATAGGATTAAAAGATATCAAGAGGTTTAATATTAAAATTTTTCTCCTAATAATTTTATTATAATAAAATTAATAACAACTATAGTTGTAATTTGAATTTTAGTATTTTAGGTTCAAAGAAAATTTGTTAACATTTTTAAAGCTACAAAGTTTAAAAAACGAGAAGCTAAATTAATATTCTTTCAGGTATTTATTTATTTGTCAACAACCTTAAACTTTTAAAATCTTATCTTAAGTAGGTACATACGAGGTGTGTTCAGAAAATAACGGGAATTGTTAAATTTCGCGGGTTCAGAGGGTCCGGTTGTTATAAAATTTTCTTTATTATGTTGGTATACATGCCCCCGAAGTATGATAAAAACTTTAGCTGTTACTGTTATTGTTTACTTTGTCTGTGGCAGCCGCTAAGGTTAGACGTGTTTTATGAGCTCGGCGATTTTTCGTTCGTTAAAAGAAATGAATCAAAGAATTTGTATCCAATTTTGCTTAAAAAAATAAAAAAAATCTGTGAAATATTAAAAAAGGCCTATAGTGAGTCTGCTATAAGTAAAACAAGAATTTTCAAGTGGTATAAGAGTTTCCAAGATGGCCGTGAAGACGTTGAAGATGACGAACGCCCCGAACGCACAAGCACATTAACAACCGATAAAAACATGAAAAAAGTGGAAGAAATGGTTATAAACCATCAGAGAAGTCGCTGATGATGTTGGTATATCGATTGGCTCATCCCATGAAATTTTTTCGAATGTTTTGGGTATGAAACGCGTTGCAGCAAAATTTGTTAAATTTTGAACAAAATTTTTGGCCAAAAACAATACTGTAATGATGCCCCAGCCTCCATATTCGCCAGACATGCCTCTGTCAGACTTTTTCCTATTCGCAAAAATAAAGAGAACCTTAAAGGGCCTTCGTTTTGCAAGCATAGATGACATTTAAAGCGCATCGCTGAAATAACTAAAGGCTATACCAAAGATCGAGTTTTAGAAGTGTTTCGAGTATTGGAAGAAGAGCTGGCACATGTGCATAATATCCAATGGGGACTATTTTAAAGGCGACAACATTAATGTAGATGAATAAATAAATATTTGTTTCAAAAAACGAAAATTCCTGATATTTTCTGAACACACCTCGTACATTTAGAAATCTTTATAGACGTATTAAGGCAACCTTTTACACAAAGATGGCATAGATAAAAGGGGATTTGACGTGTCTGAATATGAATAACAATATAACTGCTAGATTCTATTTTAAAACCGAGCCAATAGTGTGGTTTGGGGTGGTGTGGAAATGAATAGTTCGCGAACCGACCGTTGTATTTCATATTCTAATTAAGGATGAACATAAATTAAAAGCGTTGGCGATGAATATCGGTGGCCCCGCAAATTCTACTTAAATCGAGCTCCGTTTTCGGGCTTTTATCAATTGAAAATATCCAAATCCGATTATCGGCAATCGATTAGTTGTCGGGAAAGGGGCTCCCTTTAACAGGGACATAATTATTACGTTTCTCCACCTCCGGTGCCCATAGAACAGGCTTACCAGCTCCACCGCCAACGAGCGAAAGAGAAATTATCAGGATTCGATGTTATCTACTTATCCATCTTTGTAGAAATAAACTGTTTTTAACGAACATCTGCCACATCGAAGAGAACTATTTTTAGGTTTAAAATAAATTAAAAATTATATTTTTATTTATTTATTTATTAATTAAATATTGTATTCCTTTGTAAGATATTACATAAAAGACTATTTTTATTTTTATTAACCATTTATTTTTTTACTGTTTACAGAAGAGTGTCACTTCTAAGATATTTATCACCAAGGACCGGATTTTAGGCAAAATGCCTTTTTGTTTCTATTTTAGGCATTTGTTTGAAATTAGTCCTAAACATAAAAAAATAAAGCGCTTGACACCCCTTTGTTTTTGACTAAAAGTTTAAAATGGCGAAATTTTAATTTATTGTCCTAAAAGGACATTTTTATGAGCCTAAAATAGTCCTTGGCGAGTACGAGGATCATAAATTACAAAACTAATGAAAACCTAATAAAAAAAAAGTAATTGTGTTTTTGCTATCTAAATATTTATTATAAATAATTATGGTTAATATTAAGTTTGTAAAATAATGATTGAAAATTATTATTTACTTTGTTTTCATAGGTTTTACTTTAATTTCCATAATTTCCATAATATATTATATATAATTTCAGACTTTTTAACAGTTTTTAGTAATATGTCGCTATCGATGGCATAATTAAATAACTCTCCACAATTTTCAGGTGGTAAATAGTTTTTATATAAAGACAATAGATGGCTAAAGCCAACTTTGACAACCGTTGGAATCAACGAATGGTGCTTTTGTTTGTTTTTGTTTATATTTTTTCTTTAGCGTCGCCTGTTTATTCCAATATATATTTATATATATATATATATATATACAGCTCGTTCAGACTAAAACCGAATATATCTATATATATATATATATATATATATATATGGGGCGTGGCCTCGCCTCCCTCCAACGCGCGACACAGTAGCTAAGCAAATAGACTGCATCGCTAAGGAGATTTTTTGCATTATTATCATTTAATTTTTTAAGTCCTTACCTGCTCGACCTTTCGTCATGTCGTTTATCACACAAGCAACTGTGACGCGCCTTGGAGGGAGGCGAGGCCACGCCCCATATATATAAAATTAGCCAAGATCCTTGGTTATTTTGTAAACTAGCTAATTTAGTTAAAAATATGTTTTCAATTAAAATAGCTGACAGTTTGGCTAGTTTATAAACTATCCAGCTAGTTTATAAACTATCCAAGTTTGCACATTAGCCGTAACATATATATATATATATATATATATATATATTTTTTTTTTTTTTTCTCGTCTCTTGTAAAAATATGTTAGTTTATCATACTGTTAGAGCCCTGTCAAAATATCAGCTCGATTAAACATTTTTTAGGGGTCGCTCAAGATTTTTAAAAAATTTCAAAATCGTCAAAAATTGAATTTTTGTTTTATTTTTTTTTCTCGTCTCGATATTATTTTTTTGGTTTAAAATAATAAAAATTCTGTCAATTTCAAATCAAAATATTGAATATTGAAGGTCGCTAAAAGTTCGTTTATATTTATATTCAGAGATCGCTCGAAAACATTCAAATTAGTGTTGCAACGGTTACGGTTACGGTTAATTTACGGTTTTCGATATTATACGGTTAATCGTAACCGTATAGGGCATTTACGGTTTTTTATGCTACTTTGTGAATGCATGTAAAAAGAAGATTGAAGAGTATTTAACGTTACCAAATATACCACATACGTCCAATCCGTTTTTATTATGGAAAACGTGTTACACGTTTCGGCGTTTGAGAGTGTTGACACTAAGATATTTATCATACAAACCATTGTCAGTGAATTTGGAGAGGTTGTTTTCGACTGCAGGTCTTGTGCAAACACCAAATAGGAACAGGCTGATTCCGCAGAATTTGCAGATGTTATGTTTTTTAAATAAAAATTTGACTGTCTTAAATTTTGAATATTAACTTTTTTATTTTTTAAAATATATTATTTAGGTACATACTTAGGTTTTACTTTACTGTTTTTAGGTTTAAAATGTTACTCGAGTAATGATCATTTCCTTTTGTTTTATATTTTTTATTAGAAATTCTGTTTTTGTTTTACATAAATTATTATTTAACCTTTACTGAACGTGTGTATTAATTTCATTTTGAACAATAAACTTTATTTTTCGTAATTCTGTAATATTTTTGGAATAACCGTGAATGTATTCGTAACCGTAGAGCTAACCGTAACCGTAACCGTAACCGTAAAACCTGGAACCGTTACATCACTAATTCAAATTACTTTACTTTGAAAGTTAAAAAAACCTTGAGCGACCTTTAGAAATCAAAATATTGATTTGAAATTTTCAGAATCATTATTATTTTTAAATTAAAAAATAATATCGGAACAAGAAAAAAAATTAAAATAAAAAAATCCAATTTTTGACGATTTTGGAAATTTTTAAAAATCTTGAGCGACCCCTAAAAAAATTTTAATGGACTGATGTTTTGACAGGGCTCTTAAAACATGACAAACAAACATATTTTCACAAGAGACGAGAAAAAAAATATTCTTTTTTTTTGGGCCACCCTAATATATATATATATATATATATATATATATATATATAGGTTTTTATTTCCTATTTATGTGTCCTAATTTCCAATTCTTAAGGGCCTAAAATCCGGTCTTTGTTTATCACTGAAAATAACCGATTTTAAAGCCGAATCGCAATATTTAGAGACCCATTAAAAAAAGGATGCAATTCTAAACCTATTAGGAAATAAGTATACCATAAATACTATATCCAGAAAATTTATTTAATGCGAGTCTTAGTTTTATATTTAACATTCTTAATTGTAATTGGAAAGTTTTTGTTTTGAGAAAGTTAACATTTATTTTATTTATTTTTGTTTATTTACAACTAAGTAGGCCTATTTAAATTTTATATATTTTATTATTTTAAACCTGGTTTTTGTTTTAAATATTTTTAAAAACAAGAAGCTACAGAATTTAACGCAAACCTCTGTAAAATGCAAAATAGGCACCAATACAAAGAAACTGATAAGAAAAACAACTTTTTTTAAGAATGTCTGTTGTGCATAAAGGCAAATCAAACATAAACAAAATAATGTTTAAAGTCATTTATATTTGAAACTTACCTGATCTTGACCTCCTTGCTCTGCCATTCTGCGTGCCGATCGAAGCTGATAAGGATAGCAGCTATTTCCTGAAAAATAAAAGGCCAGTTAATATTAAAAATGCGCCTATAAACATGCTCGAAACATATAACATAATTAAACAAAACATGGCTTTATCAACAAATCGCGGTTCTTTGACTTTTATATCACCATAAAAATAATACCATAAATGTGTATCTTATGTTTAAGTAGTGGTGGAAGTTATATGTGTTTGAACACAATGTTGTTAGTGGAAAATTTTTATTGATTTATATTTATTGTTTCAATACATTTTAACGTTCTAAAATGTTTTTTATCCATTTGAGTAAGTCTACATTTTTTTTGTTATGCTTTCGCGTACTTAAGTATTTTTTTCATTTTTATGATTTTAAAATTTAAAAATTTGTTTTTGACATTTCAAAATATGTTTTTTATTTCAAAAATTTGTAAATTCTTATGGTTTTAACATAATAATAATAATAATAATAATAATAATAATAATAATAATAATAATAATAATAATAATAATAATAATAATAATACCTAATAATAATGTATTTCATTACAGGTACAATTACAGCAAAGAAAAAAAACAATAAAAATACAAAAATGAAAAACGTCTCAATACAGAAAAAAACATATCTTAAAAGAAAAGAAAATATAATATAATATTTGACTCACAGACATATCAAATGTTTGAAGGAGGTTTACAATTCAAAAAATTCATTAATACTGTATGATTCTAATTGACATACATATTTAAATAATTATTTTTTTAAAGTACATAATATATACAGGGTGTTAGGAAATACCGTTAATATAATTCGGGGGGAGATACTACACGTAAAAATATTAGAAAAAGTTGCTATAAACCGAAAATTCCTCGTGGGGACGCTATAGACATTTTAAACTGTTTTGCAAAATCTGATTTTTAATAATTATTTCAAAAACGGTTAATGCGAAAATAATTATGGTTTATTTCTTTGCTATTTTTTGGGCAAAAACTCATCTAGTGGTGTAAAATCGAATAAATGATGACCATGCGTGCGAAACAAACAAATAATTCTCCAGATAATTTAACGTAACAAAGGTGCTCATGGAGCCAACCGTTTTCGAAAAAAACGCTATTAAAAATATCTCGTCACAACAAAATATCAAGCAAATTAGTAGGCAATAAAAAAACATCAAGTTAGCCTGCTTCGCAAATGTCGTTATTTTGTCAGTGGTAACATTTGTCAAATCATTTGTCATAACATAAATCAGAACAATAAATGGCCTACATGCATTTGATGTTCGGTAGGGCCAACTATAAAAGACGCAAAGCTCGAAGATTGTAACAAGATGCATTCCCGGGTATAACCCCATGGGAACCTAACATTTACAGATAGTTTAATCTTTAAATCCTCAAGATGTTCCATGTAGACTAGAGTTATGTCGTTGGATGAAAACAAAAGGACATAAAGACCCCAACTTTAACGACGAAGTCTGGCTTTCAATAGGGATGGAATTATTAATTTTCATAATAGTCAGTAAAGTAACAAGGGTGATTGCGAGAAAAATAGAACACAAAACAAAGAAATGGTCCTGGAAGTATTTGCCGCTAATCCTACACAGAAAAAACGCTATCATGAATGGGTGAGCCATTAAACCAATGGGATCTTGTAATCCGTATTCCTGAATAAAAGTTCCTATAATACCAATAGGTAGTTAGCACTTGGTTTATAATCGTTTACTGTTTTTAAATAAACAACAAAAGTTATCGCTCCTAAATCTATTGATATTTATTTGTTAGAATGTTAGAATGTTATTGCATTAAATACTAATTTGATTTATTTAATAACGTTAACATAGTATATATACTATGTATACATTTAACGCAATAAATTCTTTGACATCTAGGCAAAATGTTTCCCTATTTTGGTTTAATAGTAATTATATGAGCAAATAACAATTTAGATTGCTTCAATTTTAATGCATTCAATGACAGCGCTGTTCTTGGTACTATGTTAGATTTTTTTATGTGTAGAGCAAGCACTAAAAGAATTGCTATGCAAAAGGATGTCCCAAAAAGTACAGTTTTGGAAAAAATGCACGAACAACTGCTATATCCCTATAATTTACATTCTTAACCAAGTCTTGACATATTTAAGGTTAAAGTTTTAGTCTTTGTTCTTAAAGTTCTTATGCTATTAAAACTCTCCTTCATGTTGACGCTGGAAGTAAGTTTTTTAGCGTCAAAACAGTCACGTGATCCAAAGATATTATCTTTGACGTGATCAACTCATGACGCTCGAAAATTTGACGCTGAAATTTTGCGTCAAAACTTTTTATTTATTAACGTATAATTATTTTTATCTTACTACCATAGTATTCGATTATCTCCTAGGCTGTAGAAATAATTTAGACCCATCATGTGAAGTTTTTTACTTCCTAGTCTGAAAAAATTTGATAACTGGTGACAGCTCTGAGCTACCTAACCTCACTTTATTCTTTTAATAATGGTTATTGTTATAATTGTAAGTACATTTTATGCATCGTTTCAAAAATACAAATGTGCCTTTAAGATAAAATGTTGTATGCCATATATCTTATTTTATTAAAATTAAAAGTAATTTTACTTCTTTAAAAAATGGCGAATGCTCCGGGATTAATATCTCTATCTAATAAATTTATTTATTTTAGAACGTTTAATTTTTCCACTTTCGCATAGTTAGTATATTTTTTAATTCAATTATATGTATTTTCCTTTTATTTTTATTTAACACAATTTAAAAAAATATATATTACATTATTTTTTATTAGATTACAATTTTCTTAAACAGCCTCATAAACATTATACCTAGGTAAGTAAATAAAAAACATCGCAACAAATAAAGCAGTTAACCCTTGGCAATTATTGGTAAAATGTGGATGGGGTTTAAGGGGATGATTGTAAATTTATACGCGTTAAATTTCAATCAAATTGAACCCGGTGGCCGATAAATCGGCGTGACAGTCGTGCAGCCGGAATCGTTAGCTGGAAAAGCAACAATCCGCCACCTTTCGAAGAGCCGACAGAAGGCAGAAGAGGAAAGAGAGCGAAACATGTGGACGAGAGCCGGGCTCGCAAACTCGTCGACTGTCGAATAACGGTAGTCGGTAATAAATATGTTCACACCGTAACCGATACCTACCCCATTTTCTCTGGCGAAAACCCACACAAGCGATTTATTACTTGATCGGTTTTGAATTTCGTTCCTCCCAATCCATGTTTTAATTACCTTACCCCCAAAAGTAGTCCTTTTTCTGAATAATAGTCAATTTTTTTAACGTGTAAATCAATTTATTTAAGTGAATTTTACGGAAAAGCTTAATATTAGGAATTATGTAAAATGTCCAACGCACATTCCAGTTAGTTATTTATTTTAACTTTGACACGCCAAAAATTAGGTTGGCAAAAGTAAGAAAAAATTGAAACTACACCTTGCCAAAGTTTTTTGTTTTGAGTGCGTTCCACCAACTTCAAATACTGACAGACAGCTGTTTTGACCTATATTGGGTCTCATCAGTGTCGGACAACTAAAATTGAATGTAAACAAAAGTAATTAAAAAACTCAATTTGGGTTCATTTTATGATTTTAAAATTAACCACTAGACTAGAAATTCTTATGCATACATTATTTATTCATAGCAGTTATTGGATATACATATTTTAATTTTGGTTGTTTTTTTATACTAAACCAAAACGTTAAATGACCATTGTTTAAAGGGTGTCTCTAAAACTCCATATGCTAAATGCTTATTTAAATAAATTTAAAAACATTGAAGTGTACTAAAAGGAATTTGCAAAACGTTTGCACTATGACATGGACTTAAACGCCGTTATCAAGTACACTATAATAAAAATATAATGGGGAAGAAAATATAAAAAGTGGTCAACTTTTAAACTTTTATCAAATATTTTGTAAGCTAATATAATAGTTAAAGGTAATAAAAACAAAATCTATTGTTTTTTAACAAATGAAAATTAAAATCATATATTTTTTTAAATATTAACAAGACATTATCCTGGCTACAAGAGAAAACTTTTTTATGAAATATATTTATTTTTGTATGAATGTTGATAAATGTATAATAATTTCATACCCTTAAATTAAAGACGAAATTTATGTTGACTTGTATAGTTATTATGGTTATGATATAATTATTAAAAAATGCGTGAAAAGTTATTACACTTGAAATAAATCCTCAAGTTATTAAGAAAATTTTTAAATTTAATTTTTTTTAATTTGTTTTTCTGTAGTTTTATTAAAAGTTCAATAGTAAAACTCGTTAAAAAATATTTTTACGTTTATTTTATTTTATCTCAATAATAATTGCAAATATTACATTAAATACATTAATATTACATAAAATACAAAATAAAACTAAATTCGTCAGTATTGTATTTTATGTCAAAAACAGTTTATTTAATTATTAAAATTATAAACAATATTAACATCACTTTTAAGAATATTTAGGTAAATGGGAAATTTGTTTTTATTTAAATATACTTGAACACGTTGAAACCATATAGAATTTTAATGATTTCAATCTTTAATCAAATGAGAATTATAAGTTAAGATGTTTAAAAAATATTTTAAAAATTTATTTTAGAATGACAGACAAATTTTAAATACTTTTCATAAAGGGTTTGCCTGTCGATAATTGGCTCTGTTTGTTCCGGTAAAATTGTGGCCCATCTAAGTAAGGCGTGTCTAAAAATACTACTAAATATTAATAAAACGGGACCCTTTGATGTCCCCGATATAAATTTATATTTTTAATTAAAAATGGGAAATTAATTATGAACGAAGTTTTTAAAATGTCTCTATTAATATAGGTTAGTAATGTAGGTTGGCCTTTGAAGTTTAAACAAGGCCTCGGACTTTCCAAACGGTAATTATCGAAACCGTAAGATTAATTACGCAACATTAAAATGTCACAGCAGAAAAAACGGGGGTGGCGTTGCCTGCAATGGCTGGCTAATAACGCATCGCGGAAATGGTAGTAGAGGAGACAGGCTAAAAAATA